AATGAGATGAAAAGTAGTAAAATATTTATCTTTCTATTCTTCTAATAGGTCTGGCTTTACCATTAGATCTTAAGCTTTTCTGTCAATTTCAGCAAGAAATCAACAAGGGATCTGTCAATAATCTCAACAAGTTTCTTTCATTTTCTTTATAATAAAGTCAGATTTCAACTAGCCTCAATTGTTATTGTCTCTCTGGAACAGTTGAATTTGGAGAATCTCTTCCATCTATTTGGCGTTGCATTTCCTGCACGAGATACGCGTCCTACAGTTGTAAATTAAGTGCTCGCTTTCATTATCAGAAGGTCTCCAGTTAATTGGGTCATTTAGCGTGGAAGTATAGTCGAATCTAACTCGAGCGAGAGATACGATTTACAACTAATGCACAGCCATTGAGAGCACTTGCTCAAACATCCTCTCTCGGCTAACAAGTGGCTGTTGGAGTGGGCTTCCATATCTGAAGTGGGGTTGGCTCTTCCATTCAATGCATCACAAGTGGGTCACATTGAAATAATAATATTCTCGGCTAATATCTAGAGCGGATGTGTGTATCATAGAGCGAGGCGTTTGAGTTTGCTCATGCACTTGGCAAACTTCTCCGCTTCTTCTCCTCATCTCTGTTTAATCCTCAACCTCAGCCAGCAAAAGTCCACAAATGATACAAAGACCATGAGCCTTGGCTGAATATCAACAAATGTACATGGTCAGCTTTCATAGGGGGAAGGGGGAAAAGGGGGAAAAAGGTTGAGATTGCAGTGAGGAAAGCGTGTGGGAAATAAAAAGCAGTCACAACCTGCCTGGCCATAAAGCAGGAAAGTGAAAATGCCATGCAATGCAATGGCCTGTGGCTTAAGCAAATTTTCCGCATTGTTTTCCATTGTCTCTCTTTCTCTCCCTCACTCTCTTTCTCTCTCTTTCTGTCTTTTTGCCTCTTGTTTGTTTTTGCTTTTTACTTTATTTATATTTGCATATGCCACGGCAATAACAATTAATCTGTAATTTTACACGGCTTTTGTCTCAATAAGCCCATTGCCAATATGTCGTTCTGTTCTGTTTGAGTATACAATCTCGCATCTATACAACGGGGACGATATCTGCACATACATATGTATGCATTCGCCTGCGATATATTACTATATGTTCAATGTTTATCACTCGAAGCTGTTCTCTAGAGACGGGGGCATTGAACTGCAGCTGCGGCCATGCAATTCACACGAGTATTACGAGGAGTCCATATACGACGATTTAATCACTCCCATGTTTCTCTGCAAAACTTTTAACTAGACCCAAAATCCACACTAACTAACAGAGAAACTGAGGCACAGAGTGTGCCAGAGATAAAGAGAGAGAGAGAGAGAGAGAGAGAGAGAGAGAGAGAGAGAGAGAGGCGATGAAGGAGCTGCAAATTGTGCCAGGGGGTCCAACTAGCTGATAGCTGGTAGCTGGTAACTGGTAGCCAGTGCAGCAAGTTTTCCACTTTTATTTTCTCACATTTAAAAACATTTAACAGTTTTTCACAGCGCAAAAGAGACAGCGAGTTACAGCAAGAGAGGGAGAGATAGTGCAGGAGAAGAGATAGAGGGTAATKGCGGCATGCATATTATACCTGATGTTCAGTCTGCACAAAGTAATGCTTGTAGCCCGGCGTCCGAACGAGTAATACAGTCAGTCAGTCAGCCATCCAGCATACAGTGGGACGAAGCACACAGCATACAGAGCGAAGTATGTAGCATAAGTAAGGAAATGCACTCTTTCATTAAATATATAAACGGAAAAAATATTATAATTACTATAGAAAAGGTTGAGCATTATTACAATATATTGACTATATTTATTCCGTTTATAGAGGAACAGAACTATCGATAAATGTTAAGACTATGGGCCAAATAAATTTTCATTATGTTTATAATTTTTATTACTAGCTATTACTGGGATAATGGTGTATTTATAACAATAATATGATTTCTCGACCTAAGAAAACTCTTTTATCGCTAAAACTTTCTACATATGTATGTACACGTGTGTATTATGTGATAATGCGAAGTTATCGAAAATCCAATTTCGCTAATAATACTTACTATGTATACTTGTGCATTATCTGATGATGTTTAATTATATTTGCGACTCGAATGTGTATTTTGTATATTGTAAGATTATCACTAATTAATTATTATTTATATAGTAATTGTTAGTATTTATATTTATTCAATTCCATTATTATATAGATTTATTGCAGTTCTGCTGTAAAACTCTGTTGTGTTTATTTATCTAATTTATATATTTATCAACTAATTTTTGATAAATATGCTATTGATATATTCATATTGAGGGAGAATGATCAATAATATGTTGGGCTTCAATTCAATAATACATTTAGATAGTATATATAGAGAATTGGTAATTCAATAAGTTTTTGACTCTCTTTTCTTTCACATCTAAAACAGTTTACATCAAGTCCATGCAGCTCTGCTCACTGTAGCTCCACCCTCAAAAGTCAATTAGTCAGCAGCTGAGCCCCAACATTATCTGTGCTGAGCATGCGATGCCAAGTCGCTAAGCTGCAGAAGCTCCTCCAGAAGGCAACTCTCTGGCCATTCGTCTATCCTCGCTCGACGTCTCTGTGCATCTCGCTTCGTGTCTGTCAGGCAAATCTGCTTTAAATTTTTAATCGCATGAAATGTTTGTGTTATCGCACGGGCCATGTCTTTCTTGCCTGGAGACTGGCTTAATATGCCAAGTTACGCAGACTTTCACACTGCTCTTGCGTGCATGTGTGTGTGCATGTGTGTGTGGAGGTGTGTGGGTGGCTGTATCTTGGTGTAAATCTATTGTGCAGCTGTACTTTGCTTTGCAGTTTCGCATTACATCACACACACACACACACAAACATAGCTGAGAGTATGTACTCAATTACATTAATCGCCTTGTCGCTGGGCTTTACTCATGTGCGTGTACCGGCTGGCCCCAGGTCGAGATATGCCGGATAAATGCATTTCCATGTCATACGACAAAGTATATGCATGCATGTATTACAAAAATTGCATTTGATATGCTCAAGTCGAGCGCAAAGTGATTGGGATAGGTCAGTATTCGCCAGCGGTCAGCCGCTTCAAGCTGCAATGGGTTTTGAGCTTACAATCGTAAAAAAGTCGACGAGCTGCAAATATTGATTTTAAAGAAAATACACAGGCATACATGTATTGTTGAATAAATAGAAATAGTCGAATAATATGTTTTCAATGAAAAATTTTTGTTTGGCTAGTGCATCAGTCAGTTAGTCAATCATTAATTATGATACAGTATAGGATTATACATAAATAAATAATTCATTATTTGAATTGGTCAGTGCATTATCATTCAGTCCATCAGTCAGTACAATTTTACATAAATAAATTTATTTAGACTTTAATTTATGTTAAATGTTGCTTTAGGTCTTGCTTATTAAAAGTGTTTAGTACAAATTATTAACCATAAACCAATATGAATAATATAAACACAAATTACTTCCCCGATCTGCTTGTTTATCATTGCCTGGTACAAATAACTTTATTTACACTTTAGTTTAAATTAAAAGATCGATAATCAATCAGTCAATCAAGCACAAAGCTGTACACATGTATTGAGCACTGCATGTATGTATATATGCATGTGCAGGTGTTTATTGTAAACCTTTAGCCAGTTTGAATTATACAGTCAACATCACGCCTAGAATAGCTTCAAAGTTCAATCGACTCATTCAATTTACTATTGACAATATTTGCTGAAAATCAAATACGAGCTCGATCTCTATAAGCAAATAAAAACAGAAATTACGTGTTTTACGAGAGATCGTGAATGAAACGCTCAAATGGGCAATACAAAAAGTCACATAAATCGACTCAATAGCAAATACAACACGTGCAGCTGAGAAAGGGTCGTGGGAGGGGGGAAGGGGCGACAGGCTACTACGTGGACATCAGACTCTGTGGGTGGGGTGTGGAGTGTCGGGTGTGAGGGTGACCTCCATATAAAACTTATGACATGTGCACAAAGGCAATAAACAATCGATTTGACATTTTCGGTCAGTGCAATTGGCTGCCAGCTCCGTTTCCCATTTTCCATTTTCCATTTGCCATTTTCCACATCCTTTCCAGCACTAAATGGCGCCCAGTTCTGGTCGCTCGAGTGGGGACTTTAAGGGGCCAAGCCGCCCCTTAAAACTAATATAAATCAATTGGGATTTGATTTGCATGCTCAGCTCTTGAGATGATTTTCAATTAAGGCGCCAGCTCTGGGAAACTTAATTGAATTGGACAAGTGGGCGGGCGCTTTCACTCAATCGACTATGATTCGATTGGAAGTCGAATCGATTCTTTTCACCGCTTGACGCAATTTCACTTTCATTTGCCGCGTGTGGACTTAACTGTTATTTAATGAGTTGCCGCCGCTACGTAATTACTCAATGTATGCCATAAATTGCTTTCCAATTAACATAATTTACACTTGACACACACACTCACACACACACGCACACTCTGTGGTGGGTGGCTTCTTGAAGAAAGTGACTCATTTGCAAAGTCTTTGTCGAATGTTAATTTTGTTTGTATTTTAATTGTTGTCAATTTGCTTCGCGTCGCGTAAGCTCTAAAAATAAATCCCGGCATTTGCATTCGACCCCAATTTTTTGGCATTGCGCTGAACCGTTAAATGAGATTTGTAAACGTAATTGTAATGGCAATGATTTCTTAAACCGTTAACGACCAATAAGTCGGACGACTGACGACTGACGACTAGCACACATTTCTCAATGGATCTAGAAGTATCCCGCCCACCTAAGCCATAATCATTATCATCATCATCATCATTATCATAGCAATAATATCAGGGGCTAAAGCGCCTCAACTGCCCAGTTTCGTGTCATTCAGCAGTAATCGTTGGAAAGCCACTTCAGAGAGAGAGCAATAAAGATAAAGAGCGAAATAGCGATAGAGCGATAGAGAGAGAGGGTAGGCGGAGAGATTAGGTGAGCTGCTTTCTGTTTTCGCTGAAAGAGTTAAGTACGTGGACTGGCAATAGTTAAATATTTATAGATACAAATCGCCAGCAAATGCTGTTGGGTCAAAGACGTGCTGCGAAAACCAAAAGCAAATCTAATCTAAACCATCTTTTTGAGGCTAAAGGCAAAACGATGAACAGAACTGACGATCCAATCGAGTCGCTGCAGTCTTTCTTTAACGGAACCTTCGATAAGAGAGAAAAGTTACTTACAGAATATATATCTTCTGCAAATATGATAAACAGTCCTAAGATAATTTAGTGCAAAAAAAAACAACAGCTAAGTAAATATTGTTATAGAATGAGTTGAAAGGTAATTCCCAAGTTCTGCAGATATGGAAGCAATACAAAGGGTTTTCTTTAAATAGTTAACCATGGGTTTATATGAGTTTATAAAAATTAAACTTTCTTCGCTTTTGCAAGAGAATTTTGCTTTTTCAAGAATGTTTTTAAGAAGACAGAGAAATAGAGTTGAGGTCTCGTATATTTCCTGTATATTTCAGCATTGATCTTAAGTGGAAATTGAGACATTTACACTTATCTTGACTGCTCCAACATTTTTTACTTCCTTCATAGACAGTTCCTCCACTCAATTCCTAGCGGTCTTTAATTGCCAAAGCTGATTGTCCAGTTTCATTTGGTATGAGTTTGTCAAACGGAGGCTGACGTCAAAATGTCGTCGTCGTCGTCGTTGTTGTTGTTGTCGTTGTCGGTGAAAGGCGTAACACAAGCGGCACATGATCGACCCGGACGCCAAGCCGGCATTAGGGACAGCTCGTTAAACCAGCTGATCAGCTAATCGGGAAAGAGAGTGAGAGAGCGAGAGCGAGAGCGAGAATTGTAGATCGATCTGGTTTAACATTTCCTCGTGGCATCGCCTGGCGAAAACCTGCTTAGGCCGGTAGGCACACTTAAAAGCCTCAACGGACCGCCTCAGCGCCACGCTCTGGTTCATTAGATATTGAATAATTTGGTTTGTTTTAGTTATGCATAATTACAGAATGGCACGTGGCGAGCGCATCTCGATGAGATCTAGAGGCGCAGGCGGGTGTGGAAATCTGAAAATCTTGATCAAGCAAAACAAAAATCAAGCGACGACCGGTTCAATCTAATAAAATTGTTTAACGAATATGAATTGTTTATTACATTAACTCGTTAAGAGCTGTAGAAATTCTTCAATTGACCATTAGCCATCGAAAGGGGAACGAGCCACAGGGTGTATCAAGATTGTGATCGTGTTTGTAACAAGCATTTATTTCCACTGCATTGAAAGCATATTCCAGTTAGTAATGCTTGTCTATAAGAAATTTTCAATATACAGGGTATCTATTCATTAAGTATCGTTGTAAAAAGGAGACGTTTGTCTTGCAAAAACAGGTAAAGACTTTGCTGTATAGATTTCTTTGAGTGACTACAGGGTATCTAATAGTCGTGCTCTATTGCTCTACTTGTTTGAATTGATTTTGAAGAGCTTTGTAATTGTTTGTTATGTTCAACTTGTTGCACAACAAATGAATTTACACTTTGTCTTCGAATTCTTTCTGATAAGCTTATCGCCCTATGGGGTTTATTCAACTCTCTAAGCATAAGTAAAAAGACAGAGGCTGAGGGAATGAGAGAGAGAGAGAGAGAGAGAGAGAGCGAGAGAGCTAGAGAGAAACTGAGAGTGTGTGACTTGACAATTTTATAGTATGATTTGTAATCAACTTTTTGAATGCTTATGATCGCTAATTTGTTTTTAATTGTTGCCCTTGCCTGAACTCGGAACTCGCTGTGAACTGTGGAAACTGGTTTCCTCTTCACACTGTGTCGCCTGCCCTTCAATCCAACCAGCCAAAAACTAGCTCTTTAAGCTATTTTTCTAATGCTTTGCATTTGATTTATGATCTTCGATTATTAACTTGTATTATGGAAATGTCAAAGGTTGACTTACCAAAAGCCTTTCTTGCATATTCATGAGGTTACAGCAAAGTTGTTCATATTTTTGTTTGAAGGGTTATGTTTGAAGAGCACGAACAACTTTGAAGACCTTGAGGAAGTGTGACGTAGATAAAATATAATTTATATATTTTTTTTCTGACTGACAGAATAAATAACTAAAAGATGTTAAATGCTTAAAGTTAAGCCTATAGTACATATATTATAATTTAACAACTGCAAAACTAACCTAAAATATAATATACTTAATATTATATTTGAGCACTCTGAATCATTCAATTCTAACTTGTTCCGAACCAGAACCTCATTCTGCTTCAGTTCTGTGAATGAAAGCACATATCATTTGGTATTATAATCAGATATTAACTTTGTTCTAAGGGCATGCTGAATCGCATGACAAATCGATTTTTCGTAGCTTTGTTGGCAAAACTGTACTGAGTCGGCGACTATAAAAACTAACACAAACATAATAAAGCAACTGAAATCACATCTAGCATATGCAACAACAAACAAAGCAAAGTTACACTAAGACACACACTTACACACACACACACACACACATACAGGCAATCGCAGCTGGGAAAGTAATTTAACAATGAACTTTAGACGCAAACAACGAAATGAAAATGCGAAACCGTTAAAAGTTCAAACGCCTCCATCAGAGCCAACAACCCAGCCCGCTGGGGTTATAAAGCGAATCAACCACACCCACCACACCCCCTCCATAGATATTTATATGTATAGACACTACCCTATTACTCATAGTGAATACAAGCGGCGAGACATTCGCGCCAGACAAATTAGCAACGCATGTCAGGCAATTCGTCAGCTTCAACTTGTATCTATGGCTAAAAAGTAGCTACAAGTGCGTGAGCCCATGACCATGACAATGAAGCAGGCGCTGCCAATTCAGGCCCCCGCAATCATTTTCGGTTAGTTTCATTTTGTCCATTGCCGCCTGTGCTAAGAACTATAAATAAGTGAGATTCGCCTCAAAGCAGTTGGCATTGCCTGCACGCAGCTTTTCAGAAGTTTTCTCTGGTTTTCGTCAGTGAATAAATACAAGTAGAATACACTTGGAGAAAAACTTGCATTATGAATTAATTATTGATAATAAATTGAGATTTGAATTAAAAATGAAAAATTAGTTTGAATAATCAATAAATATATTTGAGTTGAAAATACCTTTTCAAGTCATCTTATAAGCAAATTATTCACTCGTGTACATGGAATACATTAAAGTAAAACTGTTTATAAATTGTTTACTATGAGTGCGATTTAATTTACATAAATTAAATCAATATGTTGATTGCATATGTGTAAATTGAGTTATTTACCTATTATATATATAATTA